TTTTTTTTTTTTTTAATGTGATGTGATATGTATTGGATATAATTTTCAATTTATATAATATGTGTGTTTTTCTCAACAGAAAATTCTATTATATTTTACAATATTTTTGCCTTTTGCCATAACAGGACAAGTCACTTTTTGTATTGAACCAACACTATGTGTCTTTAATTAATGTTATGAATTTCCTTTTAAGTATAAAAAAAATATGTTTTTTTAACAAAGTGTAATGTAATGTGTTGAGGGACTAGACATCAAGGGTTATTGGACTAGAAATCAACTTTTAAAAAAGGTTTTTATTGAAAAAGTGGTTTAGAAATTATTGTACAGTTTGTTAAAAAAATTATACAAAAAATTGATAAATTTTGTAATAAAATTATGTTCAGTTGTTAGTTTTTTAATGTTTGTTAACATAGAAAAGATTAATAAGAAAATTGTCAAGTTAATCTCACATGATGAAAGTTTTTAATTGTGCAATTAATAAATTAAAATCAACTTTAAATTTTTCTACACAGATGAAAAAAATACAATTAACGCATCATGCTAAGCCTACATGTCAAATACCTTTAAAAAATTAAATCTATTTAGTGGCTTAACGTATAATGTTGTAAGGATAAAGTCACATTGATGGCTGAATGACTCAATTTTATTTTATTTTATTTATTTATATACAAAAAAGAGCAAGAAAGATTCAGTTCACCTTCTGCCTCTTCACTTCAGTCCTGACCCATTTTCCTTCATTTTCAGTGCGTGATTGGTGGGTTTAATTTGGCCCCTTTGCATCTGTTGCCTTTTGGATTACTTGGCTGTTATGTGATAAAATAAGAATTGGACTCTAATGGGCCGTACAACCAACAGAAAGGATGAAGTGAGAATTGGGCTATAATAGGCCTTGCAAGAAGTAACAACTATTATCATCAAAATAGGGGTGTTCATATCCGATCCAATCCGATTAATCCGACCTAAACTGATTCGATCCAATAAAAAACTGATCCGATCCAATCAAAAACTGATCCAAACCGATATAAAATTGGGTTGGTTTGAATTCTAAAATTTTAAAACCGATATAATTGGTTTGGTTCGTGATTTTACCTTCAAACCGCCCGAACTGCCCGATTACAAAATAAAATCCGATTAGAAGATAATTTAAGCAAATAATATAACATATTTTTTGTAGTATTTTAAATTTTCTTTTTCTTATTTTACAAGATTATAACTCGATTAACTTAATTAAAAAAATAAGAATAGAACATCTCCATATTCCCTAAGTTATTTCTCCATTTTAATCATACACTCTAACTTTAATTCTAAATTTTTAATTCACCTACAATTCTATCCGCTCAGAACTGGTTTCCGCCTTTACTCTTAGAATCCTAAATTTCTAATTTATTCTTAAAATAATCTTATGATTTTCCTAACTAAATTTTAAATAAGTATTATTCTAAAAGCCTTAAAACCATATAATAAAATTGGTTTTAATATTCAACTATTCTTAGATATTTGGTTTAGAAATTTTAAATTTTGATTTTAAATGCTTCTCATCAATTTTAGTAATATTCATGTTAAATGTTATTCACTTTTAACATGATTTAAAAAATGTGATTAAATTATTAGTGTATTAAGGAAAAAAATTAATTTTAACCTTCAAAATTATTTACATTGTGCTAGAAATTTAAAATTATTTTTTATTGTTTTTAGTGCCTCTAGTGATATAACGAATAAGAATTTTCAGAGCTTTTCAATTTTTACAAATGCATAGGAGTATAAGAATTCATTTATAATTTTTACCTTTTATTATATTTTTACTGATTTAAATGTTAATGTATTTTATAGTTATACTTTTTATTTGATATTAAAATATTTTTACATTATCTTATATATTTAATAATATTAAAAACCGATCAATCCGACCGAACCACACCGATCCGATTTAAATTGGATTGGTTTGGTTATCACATAATAATGGATTGGATTGGTTTAAAATTTTTATTAACCGATTAAATTGGATTGGTTTAAAAAATAGTAAAATCTGAACCAAACTACACCGCGAACACCCCTACATCAAAAGTCCCGAGTGAGAATAATTTTTCATTTCTATTGCTTTAGCCTTGACCAAGAAAACTTTAGTAGATTAAAATTTTAAGTTGAAAGTCCCGTATTCAAATATTGATGCAAGAAAAGGGTTGTAATTTAAACATCTATTGTTTTCTTAAACCATTGCACCAAGGACTCTACCCTTAACATTTTTCAACTACATTTGCAAGTAAATGTATAGTTGGGCAGAGAATACTAGATCCAGCTTCTATTCAAATAAAATTAATTGTTTCGATTAAGTTGTGGACTAATTAAACATTTCACTCAAGTCAAAACTCACTACAAAAAATAAAATGTGTTAGCTGTAAACCTCCATAATATTACACATTGGGAAAGCAACTCCAAAAAGAAAGTCCTGATGTATGTGGGGTACCATAACTTGGGTTTTTATCCCTTTGAATGATCCAAAAAAACTAAACTGACTTCTAATTTTCTCCCTTTTCTCTCTCTTCTCTAGAAATCTCTAGCCTCTACCTTAACCCTCTCCAGATCTCGCATTTTTTTGAGTGCTCGAAAGCCTTCGGGCTTCTTGAGTTTTTGATGCTTGAGTAGTTGGAGGGCTGCTCAAGCATGATGGAGCCGGTCAACCATGCTCCTATATCCGGTGTCCGTTTTAGATGGTCTGCCGGTTCTTTTGTGGCCCTGGTGGTGGCCTTTGCTCTACTTTCTTTCTATTTCTTGTTTTTTGTTTGAGTTTTCTCAGATTTGGGGGCCAACAAGCCAATCATGAAGAATTTCGGGACTGGCTGCCGCTTACTTTAAAGTTCTAGCCTCGGCATCCTGGAGAACGGGGGTCATTTATGCGAGGGTAGATGGAATGGTGTCCAGATCTTTGGAACGACCGACCAAAGGAAGCTGTCAATCTGTCTTCTTAACGGTTGATCGTGTGGAATGCTCACTGCCCTCCTTTATCTGTTTATATTGAACTTAATCTATTTTTCATTTTTTTCTCCAGTTGTGCTTAATCTGTTTGTAATTTCATCTATGTCATCTGAATTTCTTTGTAAATGCTGTATGGCTTTGTTGAAATGATAAACATTTAACTGAGTTCAAAAAAAAAAAATGGTCCAAAAAAACTAGATGTCATTTCTCTGCTCATTTATTGTCTTCACACAAGGAGCACCTATAGAAAGAGAGAATCATGAGAGGTTTGGACCCTTTCTGGCCCCAGGCTCCCTACTCTTATACTCATCTCTCTTTCAAAAAAAAAAAAAAAAA